CTGTATATATGTTATAAACATTGTGTAAACCTCCGTAAAGTTGTCAGTTATTTTGTACCACAAGTCGATATCACTGGAAGCAATCCCAAAAAATTTATTGTCTGTACCTAAAAGCCCCTGAACATCCATAACATCAAACTCATTCAGTTTGGATTTACTTCACCACCTATTTTTAGTGTGATGAAAAAAGAACTCCACGGTTGATAGATTTTGATTGTGAAAAGCCAACTGAATAAATGACCAAAGGTCATCTTATTTTAGTATTATTCTCAACACTATTCGAAAAGCAAGAAGTAATTCAGTATAATGACACGTTCATTCAAATCAGAACTACTTTTCAGACTTACTTTCAATATTACAGAAGTCCAGTCTTATTTAATAGTTCTACATCTAACTTAGCTGTAGGTTGTTTAGGGTTTAATAAGTTTTATGCTTTATGGCCGCCTCTCTCTTTCAATAGTATTAAACAGAGTTGACTTATTTAATTCTGTATGTTTAGTACAGAGGGAAATTCTCTGTATCTAATCATTCAACAAGTTTACTTTGATCATCATAGGTATTATAAAAATATAACTATGTAAGTAAATAATAATGATTTCAGAAAAACATTTTTCAAACAGTGACTAATAGGTAAGCATCATTAGTCTTGGAAGGTTTGATTGGTTCTTCTCTGATACAGTTTTCATCCTTTGAAACGTATTGTTCTTCAAAACATCATAAGAGATAACTTCAAGCTAAGCAAGCTATTTAGAGATATTTTGCCAGCAATGAATCCATTATTATAACTTTATTTATTGAATTGTCTTTGAAGGATTTATTACCTTTGTATTCCTTTGCATTCTCAATGACTGTTTTATGCGATTAACCTCCAAACATATAGTCGATAGATTCTAGCCGCAAGAAAAGACATTGAGACTGTCGATATTTTCACCGTCCGTTTATTGACCTGAATCTAATGTTCCCAGCAATTTATGTACGATGCATTATCTAAGTAACAACTTTGAAATATAAATGATCGTAAACAAATGTTACTACAGAACATACTGTATAACCCAGATATAAATAAAAACAAGAATATGTATGAATTTAATGCACTTAAGCTTCTCGTCTTAAACGACCAGTGTAGCAGCAGCCACAGCAGCAGTAGGTCTCAATATAAACAAAAGGAAAAGCAAGACTCTCTGATACAACACAATATGCACCAATCAAATTACACTTGACGGAGAAGCTTCGGAGGATGTGGAAACCTTTACATATCTGGGCAGCATCATTGATGAACATGGTGGATCAGATGCAGATGTGAGGGCGCGGATCGGCAAAGCAAGAGCAGCATATCTGCAACTGAAGAACATCTGGAACTCAAAACAATTGTCAACCAACACCAAGATCAAAATTTTCAATACAAATGTCAAGACAGTTCTGCTGTATGGGGCGGAGACGTGGAGAACTACGAAAGCCATTATCCAGAAGATACAGGTGTTTATTAACAGTTGTCTACGCAAGATACTTCGGATCCGATGGCCAGACACTATCAGCAACAAGTTACTGTGGGAGAGAACAAACCAGATTCCTGCAGAGGAAAAAATCAGGAAGAAGCGCTGGAAGTGGATTGGGCACACTTTGAGGAAATCACCCAATTGTGTCACAAGACAAGCCCTCACATGGAATCCTGAAGGCCAAGGGAGACGAGGAAGACCAAAGAACACATTACGCCGAGAAATAGAGACAGACATGAGAAGAATGAACAAGAACTGGATAGAACTAGAAAAGGAAGCCCAGGACAGAGTGGGTTGGAGAAAGCTGATCGGCGGCCTATGCTCCATTGGGAGTAACAGGCGTAAGTAAGTAAGCTTCTTGTCTTAGTGAATTGTCCGATTTGAGTAACATTTACGAATCACCATCACTACAATTTAAGTTGTCAATAAATGAAATGAATAAACTGGGGGATTTTCGTAGTAAAGTCATTCTATTGGTGTTAAAAATAATTTCCAAAAAACAGTACTCTTAATTCAAACATTAATGAATAAGAAAATTACTTACAGGATAATTCAAGTAAAATCATCCCATTTTAAACGTACGCCCACATACTGCAACAATGCTGAGCGCAAGTTAACTGCTTATGGTAAGTTACAAAAGCAAACATTCAAAAACGAGTGAATATCAATGATTTCTAAATCTATACTATTTTGTAAATCATTTCAACAAAACTGGTTTCGGTGATGCTTGAATTTTACCTAATTTATTTATAATAAGTACTTGGCCGATAGTTACACAATGTTCAATGACATCATACTATTCAAAACTAGATCGTAGAAAGTATTTCCACACATAGATGTCGACGGCTTTTTGTAATCAAACTGAATCCAGCAATAATTGGACAGGTGGCCAATAAAACTGTTTAACATCTGAGCTAATCCACGCCGTCAGATATTCATAATAAATTATATATATATATATATATATATATATATATATATATATATATATATATATATATATATATATATAACTAATCGGACATTTACACAAATGAAAAGCTGATATCCTTTTTACTTCAAAAAAACTGAACTTAGAAATTGCCTATTCATGATAACTATTCTCCCTACTAAGAATCCTAAATAATTTGTAATTTCATTATCGAATCCCCTAACAATTTACTCCTGGATTAAATGGTAAACTCAAATGCTGCAACGATTTTCACTTAGATGACTTTTGCACGTCAATACTGTGAAAACGTAACTTCTGTTCAATATAAGTCACAGAAAAGTGTGTATTCTGTCAGAACCATGATTATAAAAGATGTAATTCTTTAAAACAGAAATGAAAATCCAGTTTCCTACTCAATTATACAAGCTACAAATGACTGATAAAATTCATTATAATCAGTTATTGTTAATATCTTCATCAGTTTCAATGAAACAAACCACATGAATTATACTAATCAAAAAAACTAGAACAGTAAATGTGAGAGGAATGAATATGTGATAAGATAGAATCTAATTTGTGAAATACCAAGTCTGTTGTTAATCCTAAAATTCAATTTCATTTTGTAGGAATTTATTCCTGAATAAATGTAGGAGTCTTAATCTAGCATCAAAATACTTGCTTGATTTGATAATTTCTGAATAGATTTTCTACAATAATTAAACATTTATATTGTTGACTTAAATTCTATATCTTACTAAATTGACTTATCTCAACAATGAACTTTTATTATGTCCTCAAGTTATAATACGTCTGTGAGGACAAAAATCGTTACAATATTAATTGTGTATGATTGGTAATAACTCCGCCTGTAGCTCTTCTAGAGTTACTGCCGGTCCCAAGCCTGGGTAAAGGAGGAGGGTTGGGCATGGGGTTAGCGACCCCATCCCGTAGAAAAGCTAACTCGCTAAAAAAACGCTAACCAGAAAAAATAATTAAAACCATTTAAACTCTGCCCTAGCACTTGAAGGAATAATGACGTCTCATGATGAAAGCCGAAATTCTTCGGAAGTCACGAGACTGATGCACCTTCTAACAACCAGAGCAACACTCTTTATAGGTACATGGAACGTCCGGACAATGTGGGAGACAGGAAAGACCAGCCAAATAGCAATGGGAATGAGGAGATACAACTTGGCAGTACTCGGAATCAGCGAAACCCCATGATTGGTAATATTGAGTAACCATCCAATTAATTCATACGATGATACCATCTTATTTAACATCCATAATGTACCAAGCTACTTATGATTTATTTTGTACAGGTTGTTCTTAACATAAACGGAATCCTCAATCACTATCGATAATAAAAATGTCTTTCTAACTCCATTGTCTTTTGAAAATGAATTGAACACACACTATGTTATAAATATATATATGCATACATATATTTAGTAATTTTGTCTTTATGTGGATGAGTGTATTTCTGACGGATTATCTGCATTATGAAAGAGATGTACTGGGGAGGAAATATTATGTTCGACAAGAAAAAAAGACTTTTGTTGAATAACGTAAGAAGATATTAGATTACCAACAAAAAAGTCAGTCAACATAATAAATAACAAAAAAGTCTGAATAAGCATGGAAGATCGACAAGTGGAACATCTTTCGTTCCTTAGAAGAACAAAGGTATGACAAAAAATTGAACAAAAGTAACAAAGACTATATTGTCCCAAAGTAGAAACATAGATCACGTGTTGTTCACGAATCATGTACGCATACACACGTCATTTGCTTGAGAATGAGTAAGACAGATAAAACAATAGTAAAATTATGCACATTGTTATGTAAATTAAGTGGGTATGTACTTCTGTATGTGTGTGCACGCTAAAACATAAATTTTAATAAATGAAAGTAAAAGGAATCAGAGAGACAGCAAATTCATCAAATGGGAAGAAATTCACCAACGAGGTCAATTTTGTTTAGTGGATGAAAATATAAATGTAATATATGAAGTTTTATAAATTGGTAATGCTTTATAGCCCTCTACTTACATATATTACTTATATATATATATATATATATATATATATATATATATATAATGTTGCGATCACTAATAAACAATTATTTAGAAAATAATTACAACTGAACAGTACCCCAAGAGAAACGGAAAATAAAGAAAACCACGTAATCTTCTCAAAATTCCTTTTTTTACTTTCGCCCATCAACTCGTATGAAAGCAATGAAATGTTTGAATAGGTAGGGATTACACCAGAAATCATTTGGGGTGATATATAATTAAAACTAATTCTGTATAAATAATGTACAGAGACAAAATAGCTCACTCATGAACTAATACATACATACATATACAAATACATACAACTCACACACGTTATCAGTAAGAGAAAAACAAGGATACAACTAATGTTTAAAGTCGAGCAATGAGTTAGTTTCTTTGTGTGTTCAACCATATACCATAAATATACAGTATATATATATATATATATATATATATATATATATATATATATATATATATATACATACATATATACATATATATATATACATATATATATATATATATATATGTTCGAAAGGCTGCCATACTTCGCAGTTAGAAATCACTTAGACGACATATGCTAGAAAAATAATAATAGTAATACACATGTGTATAAATGTAGTATACTTGATTAAGTATAAATAAACAAATGATATGAAAAGTAATTAACAGTAACAACCTTTTTGGTGACACATCAAATTAACATGCATATATATTATATTACATTTAGTCTAATAGGCGGGTAAGAAGTGGAATTCAAATGTTACGAGGAAATCATAAGCATTGATCATAAATAATAATATACAAAACACACATATACTTGAAAATTATATTTCTCAAAAATAAAATATCTAACGACTTGACACTAATCATGATTAACTGTATTGTTATTTATGTTGATTGATTGTATCGTGCTATTACAAAAGTAAGGATAGAGAACGGTCAAATAGGAAAAGAAATGATACAAAAAAATAACATTATTATCACCAATAAATAAAATGACAATAAACCAATTGTAAGAAAAAGCAAATAAAAGAGAGAGGAAGAAATAGAAATCATGAGATCATACATTTATATATGTGTAACACAGTAAATAAGATAGAAATTGCACTGTAATATTGAGTCATAACACATATGCGTGTTTGTATGTGTATTCATAAATAAATACAAAGAAATTTTGTTGCAGTACTTGTAAACATGCATTAAGAATAAATAAAAACTGAGGTAAAAGCTTGGTAAGGAAGAATGTATACAATAGGGTGTATTATCATAGAATGAATAAATAGGTGATAGTCTGGCAGTTTGAGGATGAGAAGGGTTAGGATAGGAGTTGAAAATCAACATATTCGAAATAAACTAAAGTTTAGTTAAATGAACAATACATATTGACAGAACACGCATCACAGCCCATCCATAAACACTCATAAATATTAGTTAACAGTAAACGCATAAGTACACAAATACACGCAAGCACAGATAGAGGATATGAGAAAAGGGAATCAAATTAAGACATAAATAATAACTATGCATTCTATGGAAGGATAAGTTTTAAAATAAAACCGAAAAAGTACATAATCTTTTGCTTCTCATAAACAGAACGGATGGGCTGAAGGGAGAAATAAAGGACTATTGGTACAATAACTTCCATGATCGGCAGCAAATATATCAACTAGCTTCAACGAGAAATTAAGTTCTTGAGCATGTTGAATAATATATATATATATTGAAAGCAGATCTGAAAGGTTTGTTAGAAACATTCTCCTCCCTCAGACACATACATTCGCAATTCTCTTTGATTAGAATAGACTCAAAAACCAGGACAAGATCAAACATTCAATTGCAACAGTCTCGCTTCATTTTCCTCTTCTTGAAAAAATAAACAAAATGAAAACCACTCAAAAAAAATTCATAAAATTCATAAGAAAGCAACAATGATAATAATAATAGTTAGCTGAATAAAACTACAATTAAAAAACAATTGGAATAAAGAAATAAATAATAAGTTAAATTATTAAGTATTTTGAAATCAGAGTTTAGAAAAACAAATCAGGTAAGATAAAGTAATAAATGCATCATTAATCTGTATGAACTCCTACGAACTCATTGATTGACTGAACCATTTATTTTGTACAGTAGAACAGAATAAGGTGCAGAAATATAATTTCAGTCAGAATGAAGTTGAACCTGATAGGGAGAAAGAAAAAAGGAATCAAAACAGTTTTAATAAATTAGTAGTTAATGGATACTGTAATTGAAAATGTTCAAAGTTCAATAAATCTATTATCATTTTAATTTCTTTTTACATATGACAATTTTATTTAAACCTAATAAACTACGTGTATGTACCAATGTTAGGAATGTTAAAAAGTGGCAATTTTTACTTGAGCATAAATACACTAGTATATAGTTGGAAAAAAAAAGATTTAGGCACAAATGGAAGTTTATAGTACATAATTTTTATTCCTTACAAACACATGCTTTTTCCTATAGAAAGCTTAATAGGTAACGACACACACCAAGTTTCAATACACAACTGATCAAAATGTAAGCATATGAGGTATAAAATGCGTATTTTATTAAGGTCAAAGTAAAAAGTCACAATATTCCTTTTATGAAAGTCAAATCAAATTCAATAATAAATATTGCATAATGGCAATAATGATAATAATAATTATGATAGTGGTAGTAATAATAATAATCTCAAACCCTTAGTAATAATGATATAAACATCGTATCTGTTAAACAAGTTGGCAACTATCTTTACAAAGTAACTTAATGGACAAGGTATTGGCGTTTGAAGCGAAAGGTACTGGGTTCAAGTCCTAATTTGAACATCAATACAGGAATGTGTCCTTTTAGCTGAAAGTTCTAAATTTTCACAGAACTAAATTTCCGCTAAAGAAAATTTAAACTAAGTAGTTTTGAAATCAGATACTAGGTTTTATAGTGGTAGATATGCTTTTCTCAAAATTTATATTCATTAGAAACAGGTAATTAAGTGAACAATTTCTTAAAATATTTGTAGCATCATCTACATGTTACCTGTTTGTGATTTAAATTTAAATGATATCGAAAAACAACCAGAACGAGAACTCGAAAAAAACGTTATCAGCAGCTAATAGATACTACTGAAGTGAAAATTTATAAGCAGCTAATATGTGGGTCCCAATGTAATAGCGAAATACTGGTTCCCGAAACACACAGAAATAACAAGAGTATGCGTAAACGTAGTAATTGATGTATTTGCATGGATATTAGAAAGATAGTAAAGAATTTCTGAATGTTAATAGTATTATGATCCATTAAACATACACAAATAAATCATTGTTTAAAATGTTTCGCTTTGATATTTAATAGGAAACGATATGCCCAAGTCGACATGATAATTTTGTGACAAATTTTTAAACTTTAACTCTGGATACTAGTTTAAAAGTAAGCAGAAATAGTAATAATAATAAACACATGATATTCTGTAATATTTACGTAATTCTTTATAGCTAATCAAATGCAACATATACACATGAAGTGTACTAATCTGCAGTAAGTTTTCTATCCATCCAAATAGTTTAGACGGTGAAGATTAAAGATATAAAACAATAGTTTTTGAATAAAAAAATAAGAGTAGAAACGGAAAATGTAGGCATTTATTTGTGCAAAATAAGAAATAGTTAAATAATACACTTAAGTGTGACTAGTGATGTCTAACGAAATTAACTTGTGCTCAATTTTGATTACTTTTGAATATACGCCCAAAATTATGAAGTTGTCAGTAAATTGAAAGGAAACTAACGGTAGCTAAATCAAAACGTAACATCAGTCCATGAAATCAATGATGGCTGGACTGAGACAAGTACATTCGTTCGAACTGTCTGGTTAGGGTTCACGCAGTTACTTTAACCGGTGGTATGAGACGTTGGTTGATATGGATCAGAATCATTTGTAATGATGTAGATGGGTTCACGTTTTGTCTCAACTTAGATCCTGAGCTCCGGTAGCACTTTATGTGTCTTTCTTCTTTAGATAGTTCATCTTTTCTATTGATACTGATACTGATACTAATTTTAACACTCTGGGAATTGTTTTGAATAGCTTACCTCGTTGTGCAATAACAGTGAGGCAACTTGAACCGACGCACATATATCTCAGATTATGCGTCTCTAAATAACCAACAAGCTTTTTGGAAAATCATCTAAAATTTCACACGCTTAAGATTATTTCACCACATTATTCCGCCAAAAATTAAATCCTATTATGCCGATAGACCAGTTTCGTATGCAAAAGTTTATTGGAAAGTTGGAGCTGATTCCTGAGCATGTCACCTCAGAAAATATAATGTATAACCAATAATAACGCTGGAGATGGTGATAAACAAACACTAGTGATGAATATTACAAATTATGATCTTTATCACTTCTTAATTGCTTATTTATGAAAATGTGAAATGAAAATGTCATTACACAGATATTTACTTATCGATTAACAGATAAATGGAATTCAACTACTCAAATATAGTGAGTAGTAAAAATTGTTTAGAAGAGGTAGTGAAGAACCTGATGGCCAGTAATCATAGCCACCCAGAATATTGTTTTTCCAAACAAATTAATCAATCACATTGATTAAAAATTCATACTCCTAAATCCAACATTTAATTCTGCTATATTCAGTTACACTTAAACCTGATATGAATCCCATAAGTTCTGTTGGAACTAAACCTCTACCACATCGATCGATAAAAGTGGATTAGTCATGTCAAACTCATCACGTAAAACTTATTGTTAGTTACCTATAGTCGTAAATTCCACAATTTCCTTATAGGAAGAAATATTTTAATCAAAAATCTAACTTTTGTTACGGTATAACTAACTTCCATGTGATAGAATCATTTCACTATATCTGTTGCAATTCAACCCGTTTGGTGAAGTAATTGACTGACCACCGAGTAGTGACCAAAGTCATGCTTATCTAATGTTTTAGTGTTGATTTAATCATATCGATCAAGATGGAGTGTAGTTACTGGTCCGAGCAACCCAACATCACATGTGACATCCTGAAAGACAAAGCGGTTTGAGGTAGTTAGGGAGGAAACCTTGATTGGCATAGGTTTCGTGCCAGCTTGTACTCATCAGCAAGACATACCTTCACGCTTAAGAGGACCGATGTCTCTATGAGAATCTAACCCGATTCACCTGCTTTCAGAGTCCCAGATGTTACCATTGAGCTATTCTGGTCGTTAACCATCACAGTGTAAAGTAACCTTATTTCCAATATCGAAAATTATTTTAGAACTAGATATATACCAATCTTGCTTAAAAAATTCTAAAAGGCCCACATTAAATTGGTGGACATATTTCTAAATGTCCCTATGATTATTTGGAAGAACTAATAATAATTTTATTAAACGTTTCTCCCAACTATGTTCTACACTTTGTTGTTAGCAATTAACAAAAATAATGATTCAGAACTTTAGACTATTCATACTCATAATGAATTAATAAATGGCTTAAAATATTCTGATTGAAATTACATCAATCAATGGACTGATAAACTTTTGGTTGAAACCTAAATACAAGATGTGAACATTTGCGGAGAAGAACAAGTAAATGCTTTTTCATCCCCTTTACATAACAACTAAGCAATAAACATGTATGACGTATTTGAAAATAATCACAGCAGGGTTCTTAATTCAGTTGTTTTTTCGTTTACTTACAAGTCTATTGAATAACAGAGGCTACTATCTACTTTACGAAGTGTTTATTAGATGAAAATAATTAATTTCTATGAAAATGTGATATTTCCGTTTCTAGCTAACCAAAAGTGATAGATAAGTGAGCGAAGTAAATTTAAAAAAAATTAACTGTGCAAAGTTAAAGCCCAAACGAAGTCTACATTGATTAATTCACGAAAAAGGATTCTGATTCTAATCACTAATGCATTTATTTTATTTTCGCTAAAAATTTGATCATGGTATTAAAATACCACTCTTCAAAATGGGAAAAATTTACATACGTATTTTGTTTGCTAAATATTGGCAATATACTATAATTTCGGAAAAGGATTTGAGGTTTGAACTCATTCTATCCACTCTTATTAAAAGCAATAGCAAATCTTCAATCTCACAAAATAAGTATGATTTTAAAATTTACCGAACGACAAAACAAAACATTGCTTATTAAGTCTAATTTATTTCACTGAAGCTAGACAGTGATTAAAGATAGAACCCTTAAATGATTTTAAGAGTCCCATAAATCTATAACTGCCGGTATACTAAATAGAATTTTCTATTGCACAAATCATGTTGCTTCATAACGACTTCACTATGCTGACTAAACACTATTATATTATAAATTATCAGTTGATAAAACCAAGTTTATTTTCCAGTCTCCTCTTTTCAGTGTATTTGTTTCGATAAAGTAGACTTTTCGAATAACGCTATGAAAGAGCTTATCACAATCATTAGTTGTATTCAGATCCTATTTATTTAGCCCTAGTACAATTGTATAAAAAACGTATGAATTCCTATGATCAGTTATTCTTTTGGCTAAATAAGTGGTAAGATTAATTTTCGTGTCTATATATACTGAGATTTAGTCAGAGATTCCCCAACCTAAGCTAATGTATCTAAAATAAGACACCAACCAATACATTAAATTCAGTGGTACACGAAAAATACCACTAAACTTATAGGTCAATTCTAAAATAATATTTAGTTGGTAATAAAACATACTGATCCCTAAACATTTATAACAAGTTGATGTTGTATTCTCTTCCCCTCAGCAAGATATCCCTCAAATATCTGTGAATTCGGTAAAATTAGTCATAATCAAGAAATAAATTTTACAGAATTACAAAAAGAAAACTTGTATTCCAAAGGACGTGTACGATGAAGTTCAACACTAAATTAATTGTAACCAACTAAGGAGATATAAATTACCATGCACCCTAACATTTTTGTAAGACCCTTCGATAACGTACTAAGTAATTTTATTAGTAAGAAGTTTTCAATGAAGGATCCTTAAATAAATACAAACAACAACAGATTTTATTTTGTGACACAAGATTTATATGTAATTATTACAAGAGACAGAATGTGGAAATTTAACTAAGATAATGTAATTAGTCTGCAGTTTGTCTAATATTTCCTGTGTTTGTAGAACTACAAAGATACTCAAGAATTAGTTATTTATCAACCAGAATGTGTTTCATAGTTTATACAATTCGATTAAGCTTAATGAAAATGTGTCTGTATAGCCGTTATAGCCGTGGTCGTGTTATACACTGTTCGAAAACACCTAACTCAATGTAATTGTAAAAAATTAATAAAAAATAGCCATATCAGACTACTATATCGACTTCCAGCGAATAGTGAACAAAAGGGAATTGGCCATGTTATCCTTCCTTTGAACTTCACTGACACATCTACTTTATAACTAGATTTAAAAATGATTTTCCCTGTATTTCTAATAATATTATAAAATTTGCCTCCGAAACTTTTAAGATAGCTTACATCGGCTTCTTTACAATTCAGTACACCCACATGGTTTTCTGTTCAAATTTATATAACTGTATAACTAAGAGTAACTAGAAATATGGAATAAATTAAACATATTATTCACTAAACCCCATGCACTTCTAAATAAAGATTACAGACATAAAGTTTATGTTCAATCATAATATGATTGTTCAGATTACCATGGGGTTCTATCAAGACCACCAAGATCATTTTTATCGCATTTGCGAAATTGTCATTTCTCCGACTTTCCAGACCCTGAGTTAGGGGTAGTATCCCAATATGTTAAATAGTGCAGATAATTTTTGACTTAAGAATTAGATACTCAGAAAGTACTTACTCCAGGAAACCCGGTCCGACGAATAAAGAAAATGAAAAGAAATGATACGGGAATTCAGCGAATGTTTTGATCATTTACATTCATACATAACCAGCCCAAATTGTAGAATAACTCGGTTCTCATGTTCACAGCTGTAAAACCGAAAAATTAATGACAAGCTCTTTGTCTAACTTAATCATATTTTTCTAGTACTTTATGCAACTGTAACAGATATTAAAAGAAAGAAACTGATATTATAACATTTAGTGAACCAAAAACAGTACATGATGTAAACCTACCTTATGTATTGAATTTATCGACGGTGAGTTTTGACATGTCGATGAAGATTACCCAGTTGAGCAAATGCTTTAAGACATTGTGGACATCTGTAGGGTTTTTCACCTGTATGCGTGCGAATATGAGCTCGTAAGTGATCTTTCTGAGGAAATGCTTTGGGACAATAACGACATGGATACGGTCGTTCTCCAGTATGAGTACGGATATGAGCTTGAAGGTTATCCTTTCTCTCACAAGATTTCGGACAATAAGGACATTGATGTCTACGTCTTGAACAGCACGTAACCATATTCGTAGATGATGTCACGACAGTTTGTAATGATGCAGACGAGGTGGTAGACACAGTAACAGTAGTGGATGGAATGGAAGGTGTACTAGGACAGGAATAAGACAGACGCCGACATTTTACATCTTGATATTTACTACTCTGTTGAGCTGCTAAGTTGGATGGTTGTGAAAAATTACGTGAAGAAAGTAACTTATCTGCAGAAGGCAACACAATGACACTTGTTTTAACATCGTTGTGTTGATTACTCGAAGTACTTAACGTACCAGTTTTACTATTTGTACTATCTTTATTACTACCGTTAGAAATAACAGAGGATAATGAAGAGACTGAAGGAAGTAGAGAACTACCGAATACTGAACTAGAAGTTACAGACTGATTAGATTTGGATGTTTCCAAACTACCATTTAAACATGAAATAGAAGGAGAAGGTAAAGAATTATTATCAAAAGATACACATGAGGAGGAAGACATAGATGATGATGACGCCGATAATGTAGTCGCTGAAGGGGAAATAAATGCATGGGTATTGAAGTTTTGCGATGATATAAATAAATTATTACTATTATTATCATTAGAAGAAGTAAGTGAAGCCAGAGATTGAGATGATAAAACCACTGTTTGTTGAGGTGTATTAGGTAATAAAGTCAATGGAAAGGATAATGATGTATCATTTAAGGTATCTACTGAAGTTCTAAAATTCATATTGGATGTATTTGCTGTAGTAACTGAAGACGAATTTAATGTTGTGGAATTACTAACTAAAGTGTTAATATCATGACTGGTTAATGTTGATATATGTGTCCATGGTGATGATGAGGATGAGGTGGATGATAATGACGATGGTGACGATGATGATGACAATGTTGTCGTTGTTGTTGTTATAAATGCAGATGATGTTGTTGAAAAAATCGATGTCAATGGATCTGTAGCACATAATGGAAAAATATTTGATTTACTAGAAACTGTTGGAAGAAAAACTAAATTCCCTGAATCAGAAAAATTCTTATGATTAGGATTAGCAAACACCACGGTTAAACCAGCATTAGTAGTAGATGAAATAGATAAAGAATTAAACGTTCCATTTATTGTACTGACAGGTAAGGAAGTATTAAAATATGTAGGATTAATAATATTTGGTTTAGAAGTTGGACGAAGAATAAATAATTGTGTTCCCAAAGGTAACTGCGCAGCGGTTGAATATTTGATATCACCTGGGATAGTACTAAAATTATTTGGTAATGTAGCTGAACTCTGAAAAGTTGATAAGTGTGAATTAGATAGCACAGAAGTGGATAGGGTAGATGGAATCAAATTAACACGTTGTTGTGTCGGGAGTTGTACAACTGGAATATTAGAAACATTTCCATTAAGATTTGTAACAATCCCAGGAGTTGGGAGAAGAAAAACTGATCCATTACTTTCTGAAGCAACAGCATTATTAACTGAAGTAAAATTTGGAAGACATGGCGTGGAATTTTGTCGTACAACATTATTGTTTTTAACATTTAGAAGTATGGACATACCAGGACTTACAGTTGGTAGAGAATTTATGATTTGTAATGGTAGAAGAACACAACCAGAACTGGTAGATAAACTTGCAAGCTGTGACTGGGGTGCTTCAACACATGCTCTACCTTTAAGAGATAGAACAATAGGAGCAGATGACTGCAGCTCTGCAGGAGACATAACACCAGGAGTAACAGGATGAGAAACAACAAATGTAGATTGTGTGCTAACAGGATGAGGTGCCATATGAAAACTTGGAGTCGGTATTATTAAAGGAGTATGAGTAACTGAGCCTCCTTCTTTGGAACTAATCGATGTGAAACCATCAACATAACCATTTTCTGTAAAACATGAAGTAGTAAAAGGACTGGAGGTAAATGGGTGATCATTAGGAGTTGCAAACGAAGATCTTATTTGAGAAGAAACTATCAGTTGCTTACCACATTTATTCGACTCACAAATTGATTCCCGAATAATATTGGATGAAAAAACTTGATCGAAGGAGGAAAGAGAAGAAGAGCTCTGAGATATAGTCGCTAGTGATGCATTTTGAGAACTAGATCCAATCAAAGTGGTGAATCGAAGATTTGGAATGAAAGGTAATTCACAAATTGTTGACTGTGGATCTACGTTTATAATCTGCTCTGGAAAAGATGATTTATCCTGATGGTAGTTCCCTTCAACAGTGGAATCAACACGTTCACAAAGATCTGATTTTGAAGAAAACATGGGCTGAAAGTGAATAAGAAGAAAAGAATGAGATGACACTACCCAACAGGTACTGGCAATATTTTATGTAATACAGAACTTCTTAGAAATGTATTACAGTACACTGATTATCTCACAAGGTATGACAAATGAACTAAGTTAATATTGTAAATAATAAATATAAAATGTGTTACATACTATGCTTTACCAGTCAGTCTTTAAGTTGTTACTCATATGTCTTGTCAACTATATGAGAAAATATGTAGTGTTTTTAAGCTAACTTTGCCAGCTATACATTTATTTTACTGATGTATATATCTGTGGCTTGAAAAGCATTAACATATATCTCAAAAAATTGCATTGCTTCCTATTTTGCAAAAAAAAGTATAGAAACATGAAGTCACTGAATGTTCACCGACTAATATTCAAATTTTCTTCAGAAGATTGAAAAGAATTTCAAAAAGTTTGTTTTGTAACAAATCATACAGTAATTATGTATGGATAACATATGTGTGGATAACATATGTGTGGATAACATAAACGAATGACTCTTAAATACTTTTGGATGTTGGGTATGCTTCTTAAAACATTCCCGTTACGAACCAGAAAATGAGTGGACAGTGAACTGTGGAGAATTTTGATATTTCGAGATGAACTTTAAATTTGATGTATTTATATTATCAACTAATGTAAATCAGCTAGTCAGATGGTTTAAATGATCTTCATATATTCCTGTTATTATCGTTAATCAAACAGATTCAATGAATCACCCCGCGTTTATAATAAATCAAAACTCGAGGACAAAAGTAAATATTCATAATAAATAGTGTTCAAAGAATCTAATCATTTAAGAGTAAATTCAATCAAACAGATAAGATACATGATTTAACTCACTTGCTTCCTTACATCATTCGGAGTACATATTACATTAACAACTGATGGGACTTTTAATGCCCCATTATGTTTTTCATCTACACACGTTGAAGAAGGAATATTGGGCACAGATCTCGTGTTAGTAATGATGCATTGAAAATCACTTAAATTATTTACGCTTGCGTTAGGACGATTCAGTACATCTTTGACTATGAATTGATTTTGAATTGACTGTTGTGTGAAAGTTTCAACTTGATTAACACAAAGATTGTTCGATACTAACGATGTTTCTGCAGATGACGTTGATAATGAAGTTTTGTATTTGTCGCACACGTTCGTTGGTAATATTTCGTGTTCAGATAATTCAGAGGTAGAATAATGCATAACACAACTTGAACAATTCGCCATTAAATCCTGATGATCAGAATTACATGTATAGGGATTGTTACTAGAAATAAAATTGGAAGTATTAACATGTGGTGTTGACATCAAAGGATCTATGTTGTTTGAAAGATCATTGTCATTACAAGACATAAGTTCATCCGATGTACCTTGTTGTAAAGATAGTAATTCCGGAGAAAGAATGTGATGTTTATTTGTATTATCAGCTATACAATCAGGAGTTTGACTGAAATAGGACTTTTCATAACTCGGATCTGATGAAATATCTATGTGATCGAAAGGTGAATGTGGACAACCTGATGATTCAGGTGATAATGTAGGTGGCTGGGCATTGTCTAGTAAGTGAGAATGTCCTAATGATGGTGAGCGAAGGATAGGTATACATAGGGATGCCAATCGAGCTTCATGATCTATATCCTCAATATCAGAATCACCAGCAGAAACAACGTCCACCAAATCACTCGGTATTTGACGTGTAGATTCACTAACAAATTGAACAAGTTCGCTAGGAACCAAATCACTTTCTTCCTCTTCAAGATTAGGTGGGCAGTTACTGTAAACAGGTAAACAGTCACTCTCATCAACACACTGGTCAAGCACTGAATTTGCAGTTGATAGTGAAATACTTGCTGAAGATGAACAATCTAAACTTAGAGGGACATATCTCAATGACTGGAAATCAGCAAATGCACCGGATAGAGGACTAGATGGAAAATCTTTTAAATCAATAAATGAAGAGGAAATTTCAACTTGTGATTTTAAGTAAACTTGTGACCTTTTTGAGAAATCAGAACCGTTATGACTATGTAATGTGTTTGAGTTCAATAAGCACTTGTTGGCAACTGGGTCTTGACAAACGTCAATATGACTTCCGAATTTCGTAAGTGTGGCAGCCAAAATTGGAGACGGGTGAGGACGTGATGCCAACTTTTCAAAAACTTCTTGCATTCCTGGAATAGAGTTATTATTGGTTGGGGTTTCATCACTCAATGGCGTAGGCAATGGTGATAAGTAAAAATCAGATTCATCGCCCGTTTTGATCAAACCACAATCTTGTGTTAAATTGACTGCCTCACTAACAATAAACGGCTGCAACTTTAAGGAGCCATGGTTAGTTACCAGTCTAGTTTGACTGCTCATCTAAAAAGACGAAATCACAAGCAAAACACTAAAAAAATAATTTCTACTACATAAAGTCATGTCAGAGTTTCACACATAACTTCTAAAAAGCGTAAAAGAATACTAATATTTACTGTTATTGAGAAGCGTGTGGTCTAAAAATTCACTTATTTAAACAAATCTTATCATTTATTAAACACAGAAATTGATGAAAATATCAATGAAAAATGAGCCAAGGGTAGTTTTCCAACTATTTAAATATATACCTATCTTTTTATCAACCAAGGCTTATACAGATATCTTTCACAAATGCGCTTCGCTTATAAATACAGTTTACATTTTGGATGGAACTAATTATTGTTTAGTAACAGAGATGCACAGAGTTCAGAATTTGAACTGAGAATTTTTCTCATCTCATACTAAAGTCGTGATATACTTATACTCAAACACTAGTCGGTCGACAAGTTAAATTTCAGATTTCTATATCCATTATAGGAAGCACAGGAAATTTGATTGATATTTGAATTTGTCATAGAGTCCATAAAACCAAATTCCATCTTTATATATTACAAAAGTGATGGAAATTTATTCGAAATGTGCTACTACTTTTCGTCCACACTGAAATAAACTTAGTTTATGAACAGAACAGTTTATGAACAGCAAACGTACGGCTGATTAGCAAAAGACATGTTTGAAAATTCCCACTGGGAGATATGTGCTTTCGAATAAAATATCACTATCGTAAATCAAATAGAAAGCACCGAAACTTCAAGGATATATTAACTATAGGACCAAAACCAAACCAAGGATTCATAGAACTGACAAGTGAAAGGATTATTCAGTAAAAACCACCCAGTTTTCACTTGAGTTTTAAGTACTAACCACAATCCACAAAGGTTGAATTATTTTAAAAATAAAACAGTCTAAAGGATCGATTAAAAATTAAAATGTAAGTTTTCTGTCTAATAAATACGAGGACTCAGATATTAAGGTCATTAGTTTCGGACTCAACACAACCACCAACTAATCAAATACCATATTGACCCTTCACCATTGCTGACCATTTCAACTTTGGTAGCCCGCCTTTATTCAGGCGAATTCGTGCGATCCTGATAAATAGCTGCTGCATCAGCCCAATGGACCTGGAAATTTGACAGTGACTGACCACAAATATTCTTTTATTTAAATCACTTGGCCCCTAACTCACCAAACATAATTCTGCGAATTGTGTTGTCCAGAATGAAAAATCATCATGTGATGGCGGCACTTAGGTAATGTAAAGACGACGAAACGTAAGACAGAAAAACGGCTGAGAGGTCCGATTTTTGTTTTTAGAAATAGGAATGGAAATCAAACAAATGTATCGTTCAAACGTAAAGTATTTCAAAGGGAGTAAATCTAACTTGTTCTAAGTTTTGTAAAATAACTTTGTTGGGAGCCCAGTTAGTGTTTTGCTTCGAAAACATTTCGTAGTTTCCTATAGACTACTCAAAAAAGGCCTTATATAAGTAAATTATTGTTGTTTTTCCACTTTATCTGGCAGCTTAAAAAACAACCTTTAAATATGTATTGATAAGTTTTATCGTGAACCCAGAGACAACAAAACACATCAACTAGGGATACTATCTTGACATGAGGATCCTCCATGACTGTTGCACCAACACAAACGATTTCCGACACTTAGAACACTTATCTATAGGTTTCTACCATCCCAGATTTGTTGGATGGAAACTAGTGAAATTAAAACCAACTCACTCCATGTTCAAAGATATAAATGAACTACTGTTTGTAATGGGGTACCAAGGCAAGGATTTTATTACTTTTGATAGCTGACATCTACATTAATACATCTTTCTTAAAGCTTTGAAGAGAAGGAGAGGAAAAATAAGCTTTTAAACCAGCAAACTTGTTATTCCCCAGAAGGAGTTCTGATCCCCAAATAACTAGACTAACCACAAAGATTGCAGACAAACACTTCTGAAAAAGCTGTGTTGCCAATTCTCAAAACTTGTCCATTGTTTGTAATTATCCTCTCAGACCGATTAGATAACCAAAAATGGCTCAGTCCACTTGTCAGTGACTGGTTGGGCATACGTAACACGTGTCCCAGCCATATCAATTGGATAAGTTTCACTACTTCATCAATCGATTTGCCATCCTTACCTAGTACCCATTTCCTAACAAATGCATTACTTACTCAGTGGTCCCACGATATACGAGCAATGCTTCGAAGACATCTATGATCGGATACTAGTAGCCTACGAATATCCTCCACTTTTATCGGCCATGTTTCACTGCCATAAACTAGGACGGAATAAACTGCTGACGAGTTAACTCACCTAAGCCACAAATGACGCAAGTCAGCAGAAGCTAGATGAGCCTTCTGTATCCGTGCTGAGATTTCGTCACACACCAGACCATAAGGGCTGATGAGACTACCAAGATAAGTGATGCAGTCAACACGCTCAACTACTTCACTCCCTATCATTAGTTCGAGTGTCGATGCAATCCAATCCTGAAGTAACATCTTGCACTTCGAGGGAGAGAATCGCATCCCGAACATGCCTGCATTGTTGCTTATAGTGGTCAGAAGACTCTGCATTTTGTCAGCGTCTTCACCAAATAAAACTATGTCGTCGGCGTATTCTAAGTCAAAAAGTGAATTTCCCAGTAAAAGTTCAACTCCAGGAGATTGAGATGATGAAAGTGTCATCTCTAAAAGCATGTCAACAACAAAGTTAAACAAGAATGAAGAGAGTGGACAGCCTTGACGAACATCACTTGAGGTAACCAATTCTGATGACAGCTCACCATAAGCTCTAACTAGAATAGTTGTGTTCGCGTAGAGAGGCTTTATGAGGTTAATGTACTTCTTTGGTACTCCTTTCAGTGACAAACATTGCCATAGAACCTCACGATCAACGGAGTCAAATGCCGCCTTGAGGTCGAGAAATACTACGAATGTGGGTCGTCTGAATGTGTGTCTATATTCTAGGACCTGACGTAGAGTAAATATCTGGTCTATACAACCACGTCTAGGTCGAAAACCAGACTGGTTTTCTCTAGTCTGCTCTTCACGAGCTTTGGTAAGACATCAAAGTATTGTTGAAGCTAATATTCTAGACACTATATTAGTACGATGGGACTCAACAGGTTGGTACGAAATGTGTATAATTACGATCTGAGAAGCTCAGCGAAAATATGAAAAACAGTTGAATCAACCTGTAATCGAGCCACCTAAGAGACTATTCTTGCACATAAATTACAAAACAAGGACGCATCATTGTATTCTCAACCTAATTACGTAAGGGAGTGTACCTTATATGATAGAGGATGGTCAGGAAAAAGCAGAGGCTGTGAAAAACTATTTCGGGACAGCTTTCACTCCGGAGTCTCTTTTAGATGGAGAGCTAGACTCAAATACGAAGTCAAAATATCGTCCGCTCAATGTGGAATTCGATTGAGACGATGTACTTAAGACCCTTAACACTTTAGACACGGAAAAGTCAACAGAACTGGATTAGCTACACTCTAAAATCTTGAGACTAATTGTACAATATATTGCCGCCCCATCAACTATGATATTCAATACGTCACTTCGTTAAGGTGGGTTACCTACGTACCAGAATGATGCAATTGTCACCTCAATACATAAAACAGGATCAAGACAACTTCCATCAAACTACAGTCCCACAAGTGTCATGGTTAAACTACTGGCAAGAATAATCAAGAAGAACATAACGACATTCGTGGAAGCAAATAACTTGTTAAACAGTGAAAAACATGGTTTTAGAAAAGGTTTATCTCTCAAAACAAATCTTTTTATAGCAAGAGAGAAATGGATAGAGGCTCTACACAATGAAAAATCAGTGGATGGTGTCTACATAGACCTCAGAAAAGTATTTGGTAAAGTATAGAAAAATAGACTGCTCTTGAAGCTAGAAACTTTCGAATTGCTGGACCTCTACTAAAATGACTTGAGGATTTCCTGGTAGGCCGTGGAAAGAAATTAAGAGTAAATTCTATGTGCTTCACCTGGAGAACAGTACTTAGTGGAGTATAGCTAGGTTATGTTCTGGGTTTTTTACTTTTTAGACTGCATGTAAATGAACATTCAAGTATAGTTGAATCCCCAATGCTACTACACGCTGACAATGTAAAAATCTGGCGAGATATAATAGGGGACACAAATGCATGCAGACTTCAGGCAGACTAAGATATTCTGATTAGCTGGTTTAGAAAATGGGTGATGGCTATCAAAGCGACCAAGTGTGTCAATATGCACTTTGGGTATACAAAGTTTAATAGGTACAGAATAGGGGAAGTGCCTGTACTCATAGTCCGATCTCACAAAGATCTTGAGGTGACAGTGAGTCATGAACTTAAGACCACCGCCAACTGTCTGGAGGTTGCAGCTAAGGGATTTAGAACCCTATGAGTTTTAAGATGGACATTCAACAAGTTGGGCACTAATATGTTCATTACATTACACACAATCTCGGAAACTGAATTTAAGCTGTAAGTGTCTGTTTGGAAGGTGACTCGGATATCCTGGATAAAGTATAGAGAGCAGCTATCCATGTGATTCCAGAACTCTAGGGTTTGCTATACAAAGAGCGGCTTGGGAATTTAGACCTCTTTACTTTTCCCTACCGCAAATTAAGAGGTGACCTGATTTCAATGCATAGAATAAAAAGAAATGATTTTGGACCTGATATATCCTCTCTTTTTATTCCCACCAGATTAGGACAACTCAGAGGACATAGCAGGCGCGTAGAAAAGCAAAGAACGGACAAATTACTGGTAGCATACAGGTTTTCACAGTGGTGTCCGCACCTTCAATTGACTCATTCAAGAGAAGACTAGACACTCAAAAAAGCATACTAGAAAAGAAATAACATGAACCGTAGGCCTTCAGTGCTTACTACACAAATCTGAAGTTGTCCACATTGGCTCCAAGTTCTACGATGCATAAAAGGAAACTGCAAAGCCTTAAAGGTAGTCAGCAGAAGATGTACTCTCAGTTCATGACGTTAATCGTAACTGGACTGAGTCATGTTAGAATATCCACAATCCTGCTTCCAGTTTTAAGAAGTCATAGTATATGGTTGAAAAGATTATGCGAGTGCGATGCTGAAGATGTATTTAACCCCTACCTTCTTTTAAATTTTCAGTTTTAGCATTACAACACACTTTGTTATCCAGTTCGTAGTATTTGGAACTACATTCTTTATGGTAAGCGCACCAATTTAATTAATATTGATTAAAAATGAATTCCAACTCCGCCTGTAGCTCTTCTAGAGTTACTGCCGGTCCCAAGCCCGGGTAAAGGAGGAGGGTTGGGCATGGGGTTAGCGACCCCATCCCGTAGAAAAGCTAACTCGCTAAAAAAACGCTAACCAGAAAAAATAATTCAAACCATTTAAACTCTGCCCTCCCAGTTGAAGGAATAATTATGACGTCTCATGATGAAAGCCGAAATTCTTCGGAAGTCACGAGACCGATGCACCTTCTAACAACCAGAGCAACACTCTTTATAGGTACATGGAACGTCCGGACAATGTGGGAAACAGGAAAGACCAGCCAAATAGCAATGGAAATGAGGAGATACAACTTGGCAGTACTCGGAATCAGCGAAACCCATTGGACACAAACTGGACAACAAAGGCTAGGTACAGGAGAGATGCTGCTGTACTCCGGTCACGAAGGGGAAAATGCTCCACACACTCAAGGAGTTGCTCTAATGCTGTCCAGAGAAGCACGAAATGCACTTGTGGGATGGGAATCTCATGGACCCAGGATAATCAAAGCATCATTCAGAACAAAGAAGCAAGGGATCACAATGAATGTTATCCAATGTTATGCACCCACCAATGATAGCAACGACGATGATAAAGATCAGTTCTATGAAAGGCTGCAATCAATTATAGCAAAGTGCTCACGAAAGGACCTCACCATCCTTATGGGAGATCTAAATGCTAAAGTTGGAGTGGACAACACAGGATATGAAGATGTAATTGGACGACATGGACTAGGAGAGAGAAATGAAAATGGGGAGAGACTTGCAAACCTATGTGCTTTCAACAAATTGGTTATAGGCTGCACAATATTCCCACACAAACGCATACACACAGCTACATGGATCTCACCGGACCACACCACAGAGAACCAGATTGATCACATCTGTATCAACAAAAAATTCCGAAGATCAATGGAAGATGTGAGAACCCGGAGAGGAGCTGACATAGCTTCAGATCACCACCTGGTTGTGGCCAAGATGAGACTGAAGCTAAAGAAAGACTGGACAACTGGACAAACAGCACTACAAAGGTTTAATACAGCCTTCCTTCGAGATACTGACAAACTCCATGAATTCAAGATAACTCTCAACAACAGGTTCCAAGCTCTACAGGATCTACTGAAAGAACAAGAAACTACTTTGGAGGACAACTGGAAAGGGATAAAAGAAGCACTAACTTCAACGTGTCAGGAGGTTCTTGGTCCTAAGAAGCACCATCACAAGGAATGGATCTCTATGGGGACCCTGGACAAACTTCAAGAAAGGAAGAACAAGAAACTAGCAATTAACAACAGCCGAACACGAGCAGAGAAAGTCAAAGCACAAGCAGACTACGCAGAAGCAAACAGAGAAGTGAAGAAAAGCATTAAAGCCGACAAGCAGAAATACATGGGAGAACTAGCAACGGCGGCGGAAAAAGCTGCAAGAGAAGGGAATATGAGACAACTATATGATACAACGAAGAAATTGGCAGGGAGATATAGCAAACCAGAGAGACCAGTCAAAGACAAAGAAGGAAAGACAATCACTGAGATTCAGGAACAGAGGAAAAGATGGGCAGAATACTTTGAGGAACTGCTGAATAGACCAGCCCCATCGAATCCACCGAACATCGAAGCAGCCCACACAGACCTTCCAATAGATGTCACTCCACCAACGATCGAAGAAGTCAAGATGGCCATCAGACAAATCAAAAGTGGGAAGGCGGCAGGACCTGACAATATACCAGCAGAAGCACTGAAGTCAGACATTGAAATAACTGCAAACATGCTTCACCTTCTATTCAAAAAGATTTGGGAAGAGGAACAAGTGCCAACGGACTGGAAAGAAGGATATCTCATCAAGATACCAAAGAAAGGAGATCTGAGCCAATGTGAGAACTACAGAGGCATCAGTTTGTTATCAGTACCAGGAAAAGTTTTCAACAGAGTGCTGCTGAATCGGATGAAAGACGCAGTAGACGCCGAACTTAGGGATCATCAGGCTGGATTCCGTAAGGATCGGTCGTGCACAGACCAGATTGCGACACTACGGATCATCGTTGAACAATCAGTTGAGTGGAACTCATCACTATACGTCAACTTCATCGACTATGAGAAGGCGTTTGACAGTGTGGATAGGAGAACATTGTGGAAACTTCTTCGACACTATGGAGTTCCTCAGAAGATCGTCAACATTATCCAAAACTCATACGATGGACTACAGTGCAATGTGGTGCATGGAGGACAGCTGACAGATGCATTTCCAGTAAGGACCGGAGTCAGACAAGGCTGTCTACTCTCCCCATTTCTCTTCCTTCTAGTGATTGACTGGATTATGACGAATTCGACATCTGAAGGGAAATACGGAATACAATGGACTTCTCAGAATCAATTAGATGATTTGGACTTCGCAGATGACCTAGCCCTCCTCTCTCATACACACGACCAAATGCAGATGAAGACAGCAAATGTAGCAGCAGCCTCCGCATCGATAGGCCTCCACATTCACAAAGGAAAAAGCAAGATTCTCAAATGCAACACGGAGAACACCGACCCAATCACACTTGATGGCGAAACTCTGGAAGAGGTGGAAACATTCAAGTACCTGGGGAGCATCGTTGATAAACAAGGAGGATCGGATGCAGATGTAAATGCAAGGATTGGCAAAGCAAGGGCAGCATTTCTACAATTGCAGAACTTATGGAACTCAAAACAACTCTCAACCAATTTCAAGGTCAGAATCTTTAATACGAACGTCAAGACAGTCCTACTGTATGGAGCTGAAACGTGGAGAACTACTACGGCCATCAGGAAGGTACAAGTATTTATAAACAGTTGTCTACGCAAAATACTCAACATCCATTGGCCGGATACTATCAGCAACAGCGTTTTATGGGAGAGGACAAACCAGCTTCCAGCTGAAGAGGAAATAAGGAAAAGACGTTGGAAGTGGATCGGACATACATTAAGGAAATCACCAATGTGCATCACGACTCAATCCCTAACTTGGAATCCGGAAGGGAAGCGGAAAAGAGGAAGGCCAAAGAACACACTACGCCGGGAAATAGAAGCCGATATGAAAAGGATGAATAGCAACTGGAAAGAACTGGAAAGGAAGGCTCAGGACAGAGTTGGATGGAGAATGCTGGTGAGCGGCCTATGCTCCACGACGAGGGGTAACAGGCGTAAGTAGTAGTAGTAGTAAAAATGAATTCCGCCAGTGATTTAACAAGGCAGAACAATGAAATTTGAGCAATTTAACCTTGTCGTCAAGTTTACAGGCAGATGTTAAACTCCTAAATTTCAGTAGAAAACGGTGCTGTGTCTATAAGTATACCTGAATAAACCACTATTATTCGATTACAGAGCCTATAACAGATTTACGATTATCTTGTTACGTCCTTTGATAAAAAACATGACCACAAAACTTCTTGGTCAACATAGCGGAAAGACAATCTTAAGTCAAGAAATATATGTACTGTGAAGGACATTAAGAAAAGAAAACGGGTATAATGACGTATATGCTTCTATATAGTGCAGAGTGCTCGCATTAGTGTCAATAATAAATAGGGACGTACTCATGGAACTAAGTGAACAGTGAGCACTAGTTATTCGTGAAACTTATAGTTCACACTTCATACGAGCCCTTGTTTTAGCGTTACAACAAAATTATCCAGACAGCTTGGACATCATTACAATAGAAATTCAAGGAAAACCATGTTTTCCGTAGAGTACACGAACCCAAGGGCAGGGACGCGAGGGATAGTTGTAAGCATGATATACACTGACTTTTTATTACGACAGAAGAGCTACTACTTGAAACGATAGTCAGTGACGCAAATTACATAATACATAGAGTAGGTGAAAACAAAACCCACATTGGAGATCACTTAAAGCAGATCGTGAAACCTTCCCCTAAAAGGTGATACGTGGCAAAAGTTAGCCAATATTTTCGAGGAACTAAATCCGTTTTAGTCCTTTTAGGAATACAGAAAAATCCATTTAAAATTTTGTCCCTAGCATTACTGAAACTACGCTTCATGTTTGAATCGAAGGAAAACGGAATAGAAATAGGCAACACATTCTACATACAAGGGCCTTAGGTAAGTGCTAAATAATTTTAGCCTTATTGGTGTGTAATGTTAAGGGATATAAGGAACTAACAAGATTAGTCCACTTATCAAACAAAAAAAATACATGCGACCGAATTCACTGTAGACTTTCTCAAATAAACCATGGGATGAACAGATCAGGCTAATTTTTGGGAAGTGAATGTATGACAACGCACACTACAAATTTCCAGATTACTGCAGTATTACGAAAGTTGTATAAGACGAAGTTAAACCCACTTGCAACAGTATCATAAAGCACAACAGATGACTTTTGGAATAAGGAATTCTCCTGGATATCGGTTATCAACAATTTCATTTAAATCCGTTAGAATCCATCGAACCCTGACAAAATAGAACCAAGGAATGTCGGAAACCCAAAACATTATTCATTCCGCGCATTGGATCGCGCGCTGAATGGCAGATGTAAGTAACATAGACTAACTACTTATGTATAGTGAAGTTGAAATCCTTCAGTGCCCGAAAATTACCCCTAAACTCAGTAGTTTCTAATATATTTTGTAAATTATTCGCGGTAAGTGGCTCATACATGAAACTTCATATCCTACTGCCTTATGGTGACAAGTGTATTCAGTGATATTTGTACCGACAAAATAACGGTTATATTTTTGTGATACTTCAAGTGTAACCACATTTGTATCTAATATTTATTGTCTCTCTGTATCAATAAAATCGGACACAATTGGTTTGTTGGTGATTACACACTCTACCGCCGCGATTTATATAAACAGTACCACGGTCGACTATTTTTCTGCTTTTGCTAGCCATGGCTTGTGTGTGAAGAATAAAACGGTGTTAAGACACTCTTTCTGGCCGTTTATACTCGACGATAGCACGTGTAGAGGAGCCTTCTTCAATCAGGTCCACTAATGTGCGTTTGCTATCTCAGAAAGCATACAAGTACCACTCATTTCTCAACAACTGTTATCATTTTTGTTTATTTATTGTACCATTTTGTTGTGCTATTGTTACCGTTTTCACTTATTCATAGACTGACACTTTAATTTGCAGAGATAGTTTTTTTGCATACCATCATTGACTTTGTGCATTATTGCACCTTGAATATGTTCTTTCATTGGAATCCACCATACTTCCAAATATCTAAACCACGAAAAAAATAGATAATAGTTTGTTTATCGGGACATCGTTTTGAGTGATTACGGATTATTCTGTGTTACCAAGAAATATAATTCTTACTTTTGTAGAGCCATTGAAATGTCACTAAAACCTAGCCAAATCATCCGGCAGTTGGGTCACCGAATATCGAACAGATAATCGATCCCTCGTCAAGGTCAAGGACAATCAACGCGCACTAGTTAATCATACGCCATGGACTGGCCCATGCGGTAGTGGTTCTACTTTCGCTTGTATCTACTTTAACTAATATATCCCTGTAATAACGTCCTTTGTGTTGAACACAGCCTTCAGAGCATCCATGGTCTCTTGATGCGTCGATGATGCAATCCACGTAAGGTGCTGGTCTCGAGGTGTGACTTCGGAAATAAATCGCAAATCTTCCCATAAAAGCATTTGTACAGTGTGACATTAATGCTCCCTCTATTGACGAATACCATGTTTCTACAGTTCCTGACCCCGAAAATATTTACCGCTACATTGTGCATGCTTTTTCGTGTACTTCACCCTGCGATGTAAAGTTTGGTGTTAAAATGTATTATTTATTCCAGAGGGATTACGAGCTGTTTGAAATGTCTTGATATTATCCACTAATCCCTTAGTACTTCATAGGTGACGAGTTCGAAGCTTTCGTTTGATATTCTTATGGCACATTGATTTGCCATATGTATTTTTGTAGATTCCTGAATCCATTCCACATGAAAACTATTTCTTTCAGACAGGAAGATAATGAGAGTTTTCCTAGATGAAACAGTAATATATTTCTGACAAAAAAGGTTCACAACATTTACACATGATTTTTCAGAAGTTAACAACATGGTTATGCAGTAGATGAGGCTCAAGCAGAGTTAGATCGGTTAGACGTTATAACTGAATAGACAAGGAGCAAAAGGTATTGAGTCGATTTATGCAAAAACCTCACAGTACGTTTATGGCCAATATTAGGTATTAAAAACAGGGGGTATGTTATAGCCACAGCCTTGAACAAAATATTTATGGTTCAACTAACGTGCCGACGGACTGGAAAGAACGATACCTCACCAAGATACCAAAGAAAGGAGATCTGAGCCAATGTGAGAATTACAGAGGCATCAATTTTCTTATAAATACCAGGAAACGTTTTCAACAAACTTTCGCTGAACTGGATGAAAGACACAGTAGACGCCTGACTTCGAGATCAGCAGGCTGGACTCCGCAAGGATCAGTCGTGCATGGACCAAATCACGACACTACGGATCACCGTGGAACAATCAGTTGAGTGGAATTCGTCACTATACATCAACTTCATTGACTGTGAAAAGGTGTTTGACAGTGTGGACCAGATAACATTGTGGAAACTTCTACGACAATATGGAGTTCCTCGGAAGATCGTCAACATTATCCAGAACTCATACGAAGGACTACAGTGAAAAGTGGTGCATGGAGGACAGCTGACAGATGTCTTTTCAGTAAGGAACGGAGTCAGACAAGTCTGACTACTATCCCCCTTCACCTTTTTTCTTGGCGATTGACTGGATTATGAAGACGTTTACATTTGAGAGGAAGCACAGAATACAATGTACATCTCAGAATCAATCAGTAATTTGGACTTTGCAGACGGCCTAGCAACTCCGTCTGTAGCTCCTCTGGGGGTTGCTGCCGGTCGCAAGCCCGGGTAAAGGAGGAGGGTTGGGCATGGGGTTAGCGACCCCATCCCGTAGAAAATCAACTCGCTAAAAAAACGCTAACCAGAAAAAATCATTCAAACCATTCAAACTCTGCCCTAGGAGTAGAAAGAATAATTATGACGTCTCATGATGAAAGCCGAGTTCATTCGGAAGTCATGAGGCCGATGCACCTTCTTACAACCAGAGTGACAATTTTTATAGGTACATGGAATGTCCGGACAATGTGGGAGACCGGAAGAGTTTTCCAAATTGCTGCAGAAATGAGAAAATACAATCTGGAGGTTCTTGGAATCAGCGAAACACATTGGACGCAGGTTGGACAACAACGACTGTCTTCAGGAGAACTGTTATACTCCGGTCATGAAGAAGAAAATGCCCCACATACACAAGGAGTTGCATTGATGCTGTCCAGAAAAGCACAAAATGCACTGATAGGATGGGAATCTCATGGACCAAGGATCATCAAAGCCTCCTTCAGAACAAAGAGAGGGCATTACAATGAACGTCATCCAATGCTATGCGCCTACCAACGACTACGATGAAGACGCTAAAGACCAATCCTACGATAGGCTGCAGTCGATCGTCGAGAAGTGCCCAACCAAGGACCTGACAATTCTGATGGGAGATCTCAATGCCAAGGTTGGAAAGCACAACACTGGATACGAAGACGTCATGGGACAACATGGACTGGGAGGAAGGAACGAAAATGGTGAGATATTTTCAAACCTATGTGCCTTCAATAAACTGGTCATAGGTGGCACCATATTTCCACACAAAAACATACACAAAGCCACTTGGATTTCACCGGATCACACTACACAGAATCAAATCGACCATATCTGCATCAACAAAAAGTTCAGGAGGACGATGGAGGATGTGAGAACCAGAAGAGGAGCTGATATAGCATCCGATCATCATTTGCTGGTCGCCAAGATGAAACTAAAACTCAAGAAGCAGTGGACAACGGCGCGGACAACATCACAAAAGTTTAACACGGCCTTTCTTCGAGATGCTGACAAACTCAACAAATTCAACATAGCCCTCAGCAACAGGTTCGAGGCCTTTCATGACCTACTCAATGGAGAGGGAACTACCATGGAGAGCAACTGGAAAGGTATCAAGGAGGCAATCGTTTCAACGTGTCAAGAGGTTCTGGGCCAAAAGCACCATCACAAGAAGTGGATCACTGTTGGTACACTGAATAAAATTGGAGAAAGAAGGAACAAGAAGGCAGCAATCAATATCAGCCGAACCAGAGCGGAAAAGCCGAGGCATAAGCCTAATACACAGAAGCAAACAATCAAGTGAAGAGGAGCATCAGAACCGACAAACGTAAATATGTGGAAGATTTAGCGATGACAGCGGAAAAGGTTGCAAGAGAAGGAAACATGAGACAACTGTATGGTACAACAAAGAAACTTGCTGGAAATTACCGTAAGCCAGAAAGACCAGTGAAAAGCAAGGAGGGCAAAGTAATCACCGACACTGAAGAACAACGAAACAGGTGGGTAGAACACTTCAAAGAACTCTTGAATCGACCAGCTCCATTGAACCCACCCAACGTCGAAGCAGCACCTATGGACCTCCCAATCGATATTGGCCCACCAACAATTGAAGAGATCAGCATGGCCATTAAACAAATCAAGAGCGGCAAAGCAGCGGGACCAGACAACATCCCGGAAGAGGCACTGAAAGCGGATGTAGCAGCAACTGCCAAGATACTCCACATCCTCTTCAGTAATATTTGGGACGAAGAATAAGTACCAACAGACTGGAAAAAAGGACTTCTGATCAAGATACCGAAGAAAGGCGATCTGAGCAAGTGCGACAACTACAGGGCCATCACTCTTCTCTCAATACCAGGAAAAGTCTTCAACCGAGTATTGTTAAACAGGATGAAGGATTCCGTGGACGCCCAACTTTGAGATCAACAAGCTGGATTTCGTAAGCATAGATCGTGCACAGATCAAATCGCAACTCTGCGGATCATTGTGGAACAATCAATCGAATGGAATTCATCACTCTACATCAACTTCATCGATTACGAGAAGGCATTTGATAGCGTAGACAGGGCGACACTATGGAGGCTTCTTCGGCACTACGGCGTGCCTGAGAAGATAGTCAATATCATACGGAACTCCTATGATGGACTTAACTGCCAAATCGTCCACGGAGGACAACTCACCGACTCGTTTCAAGTAAAGACCGGTGTTAGGCAAGGTTGCTTACTCTCACCGTTTCTCTTTCTCCTGGTAATCGACTGGATCATGAAGACGTCAACGACTGGAGGAAACCACGGGATACAGTGGACAGGCAGGATGCAACTTGACGATCTAGACTTCGCGGATGATCTGGCTCTTCTATCACAAACGCAATATCAAATGCAGGGGAAAACGACCAGTGTAGCAGCAGCCTCAGCAGCAGTAGGTCTCAATATAAACAAAGGGAAAAGCAAGACTCTCCGATACAACACAATATGCACCAATCAAATTACACTTGACGGAGAAGCTTTGGAGGATGTGGAAACCTTTACATATCTGGGCGGCATCATTGATGAACATGGTGGATCAGATGCAGATGTGAGGGCGAGGATCGGCAAAGC